CACAAAGAAGCCCCACCAAAGGTGAACAAAGACGAGCCGGTTATAACCCAACGGTCGGGTGAAGTGGTATCAACTATCAAGGGAACAGGCACGTGCATCCTACGTGACAGTCACAGAGTAAAATACCAAAAAGTAAAGAAAAATAAACATATTCACACGTCTTCGCGTACCCTCCGTACTCACCATCTCCTCCAACGGTCATATTTCACCGACATACTCCAACGGTCACTTGAACTGCATTCTCCACCATCCGATGAAAATCCAACGACCAGAAATCAGTTTCCCAAGTCTTCTCGAACAGCCCTTTCGACAGTAATCATATTTTTTCCCTAGTGCTGGTAAAAACCAAGCCAGTCTTAGAAAAAGCAGTGACTGAGACAGCTATGGAAGTTATACCTCTGGCAGCATAGTAGTAGTATTGTACTAGGACTAGGAGTAGTGGAGAGTGAAGAAGGGAGACAGGGAGAAACAGGAAGCAAGAGTTTTAGTATATAAAAACACAACCTTTTTATGGTTTATGGTTTCTTCGGTTAGTAAGTGAATGCTAAAAGAGTTAGATCTCATCATGCTGCATGGTTGAAGAAGTAGGGTTTCTTGATTTTGGCTTCAATTTAGCTACTGTGATGGAAACTTCAAATGCTGATCTGGGTTTCAACAGTTGTTTTGATTTCAGCCAGCAGTTTGTGCAAGTATGTTTCTGCATTTCCTTTCATGAAGTGAATAGAGTTGATAGTTTGTTTCAATGAGTTTGTTTTAAATTTGTTGGAATCCGATGATTGTTTTCTTATACTTGGATTGTATGATTGATTAGTTTTACAAATTCTTTCATTCTTTTATTGGGGTTGGGGGATTTTGCTTGCATATTCTTTTGTTGAACAGTTGCACGCTCACATTTTTCATATAGCAACACTTACACAATTTACAAAATCTTTTGTTTGATTTTCGTTCTTACTCATCGGATTCCTATTTATTGGTTTCTTCACAAAAAAAAAAAAGCAAAAAGAAAAATTCACACACTCACGTTAGCTGTCTCTCTTGATTTCTCTTTTCAAATATACATGCAAAGTTGTAGAACTTGCACACAATAAAGTAAACCACACATTTCATAGTTGAAGATTTGTTATAGAAACAGAGAGATAGGGAGAGAAAAAATAGAAGAAAATAGGGTGGGAGAGTCACACAAAAATCAAAGAAAAGAAAATTGGAAGGGCATAGAGAATGTTGGCCGGTTGTTCTAGTTCAACATTGCTGTCACCAAGGCATAGATTGAGGAGTGAATCACCTGCGCAGTTTCAAGCTTCCCATTTTCAGTTACCTTCAATGAGCACACAGAGATTGGACTTGCCGTGTACTTTCTCTCGCAAAGAATCATCACGGTCGCAGCCTATTAGGCCTGTTGGTGTTGGCCTGTCAGTGGATAAACCACTTGAGTCCAAGACCAGCAGTTGCTCTCTCAAGCAGAATATCAGGCTCCCACCATTGGCAACAGGCAATCAATCAGTGAAAGATGAGTTTTGGGAGAGGGGTAAGAGCTTGAAGAGGTTTGCGGAGCAATCGGTTGATGAGTCTTGCATTAATAGGGCTAAGAGAAAAAGGGGTAACAATGATGATGTTAAACCTGATGATTTTTGTGAAGGTGGTGATAGTTTGAGTTTAGGTCAGTTGGGGAGCGGCAATTTTTGGTTTCAACCAAGTTTGGAGGTGCCTAAAGGCCTTAACCCTCAACAATTTCCTTTCTCCTTGACATGTTCAGGAGATGAGGAGAGGGTTTGCTTTGTGCCTACTGAAGTGATTTCCCCGCCTTTGCCATTGTCTAACAATCCATGGGTGGGCTCTGTTATAACTGAGATCACTGACCTGGGTGAAAAGGATGGAGAGAGTAGCCAAAGGCCAGTAAAAGAAGCCTCGGGTTCAAGTACTTCATCAGAGAGTCAAAGCTTAGGCGTCAGGCTAAGCGAGAATGTAGTGGAGCATGAAGTGGGTAATGGCTCTAGGAATCCTCATCCTCAAGAAGGTGCTGCGATGGAGGCTGCAGAAACGGACCAGAGAGAGTTCCAGGGGTTTGAGCTAGTTAGCTTACTTACAGCTTGTGTTGAAGCAATTACGTTGAAGAATATCGCTGGGATCAACAATTTTCTAGCTGAATTGGGGGGGCTTGCTTCTCCGAAAGGAATTCCTATTAGCCGCCTTGCTGCTTATTATACTGAGGCCTTAGCTCTTAGAGTCACAAGGCTTTGGCCTCACATTTTTCATATAACTGCTCCTCGGGAACTTGATCGTGTTGACGATGATTCAGGGACTGGATTGAGGCTTCTGAATCAGGTGAGCCCAATTCCAAAATTCATTCATTTCACTGCGAATGAGATGTTGTTGAGGGCTTTTGAAGGGAAAGATAGGGTTCATATTATAGACTTTGACATTAAGCAAGGGCTTCAATGGCCTAGTTTGTTTCAGAGTTTGGCCTCCAGGACTAATCCTCCTAGCCATGTTAGAATCACTGGTATAGGTGAGTCTAAGCAAGAGCTTAACGAGACAGGAGATAGGCTTACTGGATTTGCTGAGGCATTGAACCTGCCTTTCGAGTTTCATCCAGTTGTGGACAGGTTAGAAGATGTGAGGTTGTGGATGCTCCATGTGAAGGAGAGGGAGTGTGTGGCTATTAATTGTGTTTTCCAGATGCACAAGACACTGTATGATGGGAGTGGAGGAGCACTGAGGGATTTCCTGGGACTTATCAGAAGCACAAACCCCGCAATAGTCGTTGTGGCAGAGCAAGAAGCAGAACACAATGCCCCTAATTTGGAAACAAGAGTTTGCAATTCGTTGAAGTACTACGCTGCCCTATTTGACTCGATTGATTCTAGCCTTCCCTTTGACAGCCCGGTTAGGATAAAAATAGAGGAGATGTATGCTCGAGAAATTAGGAACATTGTTGCTTGTGAAGGAAGTGACCGGCATGAAAGGCATGAAATGTTTGACAATTGGAAGAAGTTGATGGAGCAAGGAGGCCTTCGATGCTCGGTAATCAGTGAGAGGGAAATGCTTCAGAGCCAAATGCTATTGAAGATGTACTCTTGTGATAGTTACCAAGTTAAGAAGCACGGGCAGGAGGGAGCGGCGCTTGCTCTGAGTTGGTTAGATCAGCCTCTCTACACAGTCTCAGCGTGGACACCTTTAGACATTGCAGGGAGTTCATCCTCTTTTTCTCAGCCAAGTTGAAGATTTTTTCATACATAACCAGCATAATTCTTTCCATTCTTGCATACAGAAAGGGACACTAAATTCTTTGTAGGTAGAAGAAGCTGTGATTATTCTTTCATTCTTTTGTTGCAGATAAGATTCGTCAGTCTAATAGCACAAGATCCATTGCATGAATACAGTAGTTTCATACCGATTCCAGTTCTTTTCAGGGCAGGTTTCTAGGTTTAGGTCCATAGAATTCAGAGTCAGTTTTATGTTAATTCTTTGATTCTTTTATGTATTGATGAATTCTTTGTCGTCCCGTTATTATTATCCTGTTCGTTTTATTTGTTGAAGGATTAGTAGAAATGCAAAAATCATGTATTTGGGAATTAAATTGCCATATGTGGAAATTTTTTATTGATCTGTGACTATGGATTTTCCTTGCTAACAATCCTAACTCTAAACAACACCAGCTGGCTTTTTCCAGCAGTATGAAAATCCAGATTTCAGTATTGTGTTACATGTTGTATTTTAAATTAGTTTTTATTTTTTATTTAAAAATACATGAAAATAATATATTTTTAAAATTTGATTTTTAATACTAATTATGCATTAAAACAAACTAAAAACACCAAAAAAATAAAAAAAAAATTAGAAGGATACTTAAAAGTGTTACTTCCTGGAATAGAGGGAGGAGATGACAAGAATGATAATTTATTCATAATCTATTTTCTGGAATTAGAAGGATAGGATGTTCCATTTGCAATGTCTCAATGATCCATATGAAACCAGTCAATTAAATGGATGGATTACAGTGACACAATTTATTTTATTTTTCTAAGAGCTATAGAGAGATTTGCTCAAAACACTAAATGATCCATGGGCTCTGATTTGAACCCATTTCTAGCTATTGGGCTAGGTTGTGCAGCCATATTTTTTTCCTGGTGTTGGACTCGGTTTTGCCCCCTTTCCTCTTCTCCTTTGTTGGGCTTGGTGGGCTCGGTTTGACCTTTTTCTTACCCTCCTGACCTCCTCTGTTGGACTTGGTGGGCCCTACTTCTGCTCTCCTTTGCTGCCAAGTTTTGGCTTATTGGACCTGGTTGGGTCCCTTCTTCTCCTCTCTCTTGTTGCTTGGTTTTGGCAGCTTTGTTTGTCATGTTATCCTGCTCGGTTTTGAGCCCAGCTTACCTTAATTGGGCTTGGTTTTTAGCATAATTTTTCTGTCTCGATTCTGGCCTCCTTTCTTCCTATTAGCTTGGCTTTGGTCTCCGCGGTTCTGAGCCTAAATTGCAGCACTGTAAGAATGCGTGTGAGGCTTCCAAATTCGCGTTCAGTCCGATTGCCCACACGTTGACTAGTACTTAAAGAGTTATTGGGATCCTATATAGTTCATGGCTTGGCATGTCTCTACAGCATGGCGAGGAAGGGAAAATGGAGCAGGAGAGTGCTGCCTTTCATTTTTCTTGGTAGACATCTCATTGACATTGTTAATGCAACTTGGGGCGGGGAGTCCTGATGTTCGATTAACAACTACATGATACAAAAAGGCTAACAATGGAGTGAAAGTGAAAAAAAGAAGTTTGAATTCTTACCATATTGATAATTCCGTGTGCACAAGGACACACAAATTGTATTTTTAGATTAATATGGATGTCCGGACCAGCTTACGCACACCACAACTAAAATTGACGTAGTTAATCAAATTATATTTTACCACTACAAGTTATTGCTGTAGTTAATCAATCACAGTATCCTGATTCAGTAGTCATGGAGAATGGTAACCGGTGGAAAACTAAAATGCAACCGCGACAAACATCAAAACAAGACATGTTTATTATTAGAATGCAAGAAGGACAGCTAAATCTCCTCGCACTCATTTTTTACTAGTCGGAACTAGAAGTAAAGGTTGTTCCTTCCGCAAAGTTAAGCCATAGTTCTCACTCATATCTAAATCAGTAGGGTTCTTTCCACATGGAAGAGACCAATCAAAGAAAAGGATCAAATAAGCAATGATCAATGCAACATGTTTTGCAGCCATCGGCAGGCCAGGGCAGATTCTCCTTCCTGAGCCAAACGGTATGAACTCAAAGTCATTCCCTTTAAAATCCAAATTTGCGCTCAAGAACCTTTCTGGATTAAAAACTACTGGTTCCTCCCAACTCTTGGGGTCTCGTCCGATAGCCCAATAATTTACTAGCACTTGAGTGTTCTTTGGAATGGTGTAATTCATCACTTGGCAAGAGTCGATGGCGCGGTGAGGAAGAAGAAACGGTCCTGGAGGGTGCAACCTGAGGGTTTCTTTGACACAAGCCTGAAGGTATGTTAGCTGTGGAAGGTAGGATTCCTTAAATCCCGTATCCCGGTTCATATTTATTACATTTGCAATCTCTTCTTGAACTTTCTTTAGGCATCTCGGATTCTTTATCAGCTCTGCCATTGTCCATTCTATGGTCGAGCTACTTGTGTCTGTGCCAGCAGAAAGGAGCTCCTGAAATGTCATGATGAAACAACAATTGGAATAAAGATTGACGTTCAGTTTTCCGTTCGTGTAAAATAAGTGATCATAGAAACACGCAGAGGTAGTAAAAATAAATAAATTAAAAGAAGTGGGTTTTAACTGGGAAATACTCAAAAAATACTTTAGTAGATTAGTTGTTAGATACTAAATTAATCATCTAATGTATTTTCCAGTTAACAAATTGATAGTAGAAGATTGAAAATAGCCTAATCGCAATTTACAAATAAATCAATTATTATATATATAATTTGTAAAAGAAATTAAGAGCTGGGTCAAAGCAGATGTTATCTCGCCAATCTGTCTTTGATCCTGGAAAACATCGGGATAACAAGTCTTGATAATTTATATTGGAAGTCCTAAAGTTTCTTTCTTTCTTTTTTGAAATAAAAGTCATAAAGTTAATATGTATATACTTCAAAGCATAATTTGACTGTTCAAATGATAATATTCAATAATTTGAAGGACCAGGATACAAACAAAACTAAAAGTTAAAATCAACTTCGAATAATCATGAGGGATGGAAAGAATGGGATCAAACCATAAGCAAAGTGTCAATCTGATCATCGCTTGAGCCATTGAGGATAAGAGCGTCAAGAAAGTCTCTCCGTCTTGAAGCATCGGGACCGTCTCCTTTTCCCTCCCCCCCCTCTCTTCTTTCTTGGATGATAGAGTCACACATATTAAAAGACCTCCTGTGCAATTCCATAGTCTTCTTTCTTAAACCTTGTAGATCTAATGGACTCAATATTGGATAAAAGTCAGATATATTTGGAGTAGAAGCCAGCTTTGCAATGTCTTTTAATACCGAACTCATCCCTCCATCCTCACTCTCAAGCTCCAAGCTCACAAGATCCCTGGACACTAAAATATTGCTCAACATGTTAAAAACAGTAGCAGTTGCTACCTCTCTAATCTTAACTACTTTCCCTTCCATTTTATTGATAAAATCAACCATTTCCTTGGCTTTTCTCTCTCTTATACATGCTTGGGACTCTAGTGCTTTGAGTGAGAAAAGCTCACTTTTGCATATTGTGCGTAAATACCTCCACCTCTCGTTGCACTCAACAACCCAACCCAGTGATAATTTGTTGAGTTCTGAACTCTTGCTTGGTGCCATGTGAGGAACATGTCGCCCTGATAGAATTCTATCATGAGTCTTGAGGATTGCAATGGCAGCAGCTTGAGAGGATCCCACAACTACAAGTTGGGTCCCAAGTCTTAATGAGAAGATTGGTCCATGGATTTTTGCAAAATGGGTTAGGGTGATATGGGGCTTATCTCCAAGTTGGAGAATGTTGCCTAAGATTGGCCATGGATATGGACCTGGAGGAAGTGGAAGTGATGAATTGTGTCTAAAGTGCTTGAGGACAATCAGAAGCAAAAGAGGAAGGAGAAGGAGAATAGGAGAGAAGAGATTGATTGCTTGAGTTAAGCTAGTTTGAGCCATAATTTTGTGAGCCAGAGCTGGTTTTGGCAATGCGTTAAGGGTTTATAAACTGGCATTTTAGCAAGTGAAAATAAATCATTGTAAGCTTGATAATAATTAAAGAGATTCTCCTCAACCACTCAGTGAGTGAATGGTGTATGCTAACTAATTAAATTTCAGCAGGGATCGATTTATAATTAAGAATAATCTGCTCCTTCAATTGACAATCAAATTTTCATGTTTCTTCTTAATTTATCACTGCATGGCTTCTGATCAGCGATAAATTAGCCTGCAACTTTCCATTGTCGGGAGAAAAATTAAAAAACTTACAAGTTTCTTGTCACTTTCATCGCTCATAGTATACATGACGATACTGCCTTTTCCTACATATGTTGCAATGGACATATATAGTTGCGTGATGTAGGGTTGTGAAAGAGATCGACAGCCTTTTCCTCATCGAGATTAATCTCTTATGATCGTGTTACCTGCACATCTCAGTTAGCGGGCATGCAGGACAGAAAAAACGAAACCTTGAAACCATTTGCATTGTGTATTCTGAGCTTGCCTCATTTTTTTTTCCTGTTAATTAGGAATTGAGGTAGCTTAAAGCAAACAAGAAATTTAAACAGTAAAGCTCAGAATCTTTTTAATAGGACAGAGATTCTACCTATTACATTAAGTTTAATTTTTATTTTTAAATAGTGGATCAGGAACTCTTCGACCAACTCCTAATTGTCTAAATTCTTTTGCGATCAGGATAGCAAATTCATTTTTAATATTTTCCCTTTCTTTGGGTCACATTTGGCAGAGCTCTCGAGTAGTGAAAGGTGGCATTTTTTGTCACCGAAGATTGAAAGGGATGGCTTTAGCTAGAGAGTAATGATCATTGTAGGGGAGGGTTTTCCATTCTTTTCATCTCAAATACCGACAGCAGTGCTCTAGCTGCAGAAGAATAGCAAGATCCATTAATCTTTCATATACATCCAAGAAGCTCGTAGCAGGATGGATAGATACTGTTGGAGGAGTGAGCATCTGTACAATTAATGAACTACGTACGTACGACGCCATTAATGAGTAATTAATGTATCAGGGTGGTGCTTTTCAATACGAGTCTGAAACCAAAACGAAATGCATGGATATAACCGTTAATAATCAAAGAGCTTGGACATCCTTTTGATGTGTTGTGGCATTGCATTCAACTATATCGAAACCTACTCTTGGATGCCTACTTGCATTTTCTTGCTCACATCAACAATATTGACCAGTGATAAACTGGATGCATAAAATAATTAATTATATGATACTGTCAGGAGGATTAATGCATGTGATAACAACGACGTGTGTGCTTAGGATTTGGATTTTTTATGGTGCTAAAATCGTGCCTTAATTAGGACTGCTGACTGACACACCACAAAAGGGTAAGCAAACATCTTAACGTGGGAAAGTTCATGTAGCTTCACCGAAGCTCGTCTCCTTTTGTTCTCTTTTTTCCTTTTTCTCGTCCCCATCTTCTCTTTTTCTTTTTCTCTTTCCTTATAAATTTTTCCTTTGAAATTTTTTAATATTCTATCAAGTTATCTTTAAATCAATCAAATTAATTATATTATAATAAAATAAATCTTATATGATTCAATTTTAAATTAAACTAGATAATTAGATAGGTTAAAAGGTTTTTTTTTTTGGCCAATTTCATCTTTTTTTTCATCTCAATTTTGTCTTTATATTTTTTTCACTAACTGAATAAATCTTATATAATTCAATTTTAAATTAGACTAAATAATTAGATAGGTTAAAAGGTTTTTTTATTGCCAATTTCATCTTTTTTTCATCTTAATTTTGTCTTTATATTTTTTTCACTAACTTGGATATCCGAGTTAACTTGTACATACCTTTACTAATCTTATAGAACCTCAAGTTAATAACCATGTAAACCTTTAATAGTTCTAAAAGGACTTGAACTTGTGACCATTAAGGAGTAAATCCAATACCTAACCAGTTAAACTACTTCTCATAGTTCTTTATATTTTTTTACTTGTTGGTTAAGTTGTATTTGGACTCATCAAATAGACTAGGTTATATCAATGCAACCCTCATATATTTTAATTTTAAATTCAAATTAGATAAGAAATCGGTTAAAATGTTTTTTCTATCAATTTCATCTTTAAACTTTTTTTTATTAGTTAGTTGAATTGCCTTTAAATTGATCAAATTAAATAAACTCTTGTATAATTTAATTTTAAATTTAAATAAAATAGAAACTTCAATTTAAAAATTTAAAAATTAATCTAACAATTTTTTTTTAATAAAATTCTCAAATAATTCTGAACGAGTTAATTTTTTACGGTAAGAAATATAAGGCTAAGTTAATAAATCCATCAGCACTCACTTAAGGCAAAACGGGATCGTATCATGAATCTCTCTAATCTAAAGTGTGAAACCCCAGTTGAAACGACGGTGAACATAAAACGCAACGCAAACTCCGATCTCATACATAGCTGGAGCTCCTTTCTTTCTCTCAGCGAAAAACAGAGACGAAATGGAGAAGAAGAAGAGAGGATTTTGGAGATGGTTAATAGCATCCGTAATGTTAAGGCTGATTCTAATCTACCTCCCTAAAACCTTCAACTTAGCCTCTCGCCCCGAAGTCTCCACTCCTCTCGTCAGCCTCCGCCGCCGTAAATACTCTCTCTCTCTCCTTCTCTCTCTCCCTCTTCGACCTCACAGCCTAATTTTATTTTCACTGAGTACTTTTTTGCTGTTAATTTAGTGGCTGAAGGTTACTGGTTGAAGCAATCATCAATCTCTCCTTATGCTGGTAATTATTGTTCTTGTATGTGTGATTTTTTTTTTATATTTATCTAGCCAATAATGTACAAGGAATGATTTATTATTATTATTTTTATATTTCTTTATAGGATCGATGTACCATGGATCTCCATTGTTACTCTCACTTCTTGGTCCACTCACTGTTAAAAGGTACTACTACTGTCCTAATTGTTTTAATGAGATCAATTCAGAGTTAAAAGTTTGATAATTTGTATGTTTATCTTTGTTAATTAGTAATTAGTTTTATGATTCCAGCCTAATCACTGTTAATTCACATTTAAAAAAGAAAAAATTAATGCGAGCTAAATCTTGGAATGCGATTACTAAATACCAAACTAATTTTCCGCTATCAATCACTCATTGAAGTAGTTATTATTGAATTCCTTGATTTTTTTTATAGCATGGTAATTTATTGATCGGGTGTTGCAGAATTGAAGGGCAACCTAATCATCTTCTTTGCAGGTATGCTATTCTCGCCTTGCGTGTTTGATCTTTGTGCAATTGGTTTTTTAAAGCAACTTGGATTTTTTTTTTTTTTTAAATCTCTTTTTCTAGTTTCGAAGTTGTGTCGATTTGTAGTGATGCAGATGATAGTCTACATATTCTTGGATACAGTTTGGTTTTTGTCATTGCAGATATTATTAGTGCTTTGCTTATTCGGGCTACTGGCCACACTCTACAGATGGCATATAGACAGAGCTTAAATTCACTTGACATTGTTGATCTATTAAAAAGTTCAGGTAGTTAATTTATGGGATGTTATTTTCAACTTTAACTATACATAACATTTAGATTCAGAATTTTTATATTGCTTTTTTATCTTTTCTTTTCTTTCTTCTTCTTCCTTTTGGTTCTTGCTATGCAAATGCATTCTTGATAGAATTTATTCAGAAACAAAGTGTACTCTCTGCTTCTTACTGGCTGATGAAGTTTAAATTTGATTTTATTTTTAGATTTACTTTCTTCTGGAGATATAGCTGCACTTGTATACTTATGGAATCCTTTCACGATAGCTGCATGTGTGGGTTTATCAACTTCCCCAGTTGAAAATCTGGTTGTCATACTGGCACTTCATGGTGCTTGTAAAGGTAAGATGGTAATGGACTTTTTCCAGATTATGACACTTCTGTGATTGGTTGTTTTTGAGATTATCTTAGTGATCCATGCCTCCATCTTTTGTGAACTCAACTTGGATGAGAACTACACAATCCACAAAATGATCACAGTAGTCTGAAAAGGACTACTGAATTTTGGTGACAAATTTGTTGCTCTGCACTTTTGTTAGTAATGATGGCTGCTCCTGTACGGCTACATGAATTTTGATACCAAGGTTTCTGATAATGTTGTCCAAAACTTGTCTCCAGTTTTGAGTAATGTTTTGCTTATACATGGCATATACCCCCTTTTGATTTCCTCCCTCAATATAATGCGCATCCAGTATATCAACTTGCTAGTCTAGCATTGATACCCTTGGCTGACTGTAGTTTATGCCCATTATGTTATTTGTTTCACTCATAACAGCAATTTTGGGGAGGTGAAATTGGTCTGAATAAATAAGGCTTGGTATATCTCTGTGTAAGCATTAGAGGATTGTGAAAGATCTCTTATTAGGACCCTTAAGTGATTGGTCTCTTGTCTCAGGTTTGAGGGGTAACTGGTTTGAATTATGATATGTTTTAGGGGTTTTAACTGGTTGAAAAATATAATTATGGTTGATCATTTTATGAATTTGAAAAGTGTAACAAGGCCTGGTATCAAGTTAAGACTGTATTTGTGAAGAGTTGACCTTGATTAATCCATATTACCACAAGGTTGCAGGCTTATAGAAAGCATTTTGGCTTTTCTCAGCGGGGTTGGGTGGAGACAATAGCCCCTAGGAAGTATGATGGATATAAAGTGATTTGCCAGATATCATACCAAGCATGCTAGAATGTTCCATGGTTATCTCTTCATAAAACTTATTTGCCAGAATAAGAGTGTGTATATTTGCAACACACCATGAATAGATTATACGCTATCCTGGCACTAATATTCTATATCCTGCATCTTTTATTGAAATATTGTTCATTTGATGGAGTGCAGGACTGGTTCCTCTGGCAGCATTTGGATGGGTGATGTCGACACACTTGTCTCTTTATCCTGCAATCCTAATAATTCCAGTAATGCCCCTTTTCTGCTTACTTTGTCTTAAAATAC